ATCAAGCCATGCTGTGGCAGTGTCCCACATACAAAACAGAGGAAGCTTGGCACGGATGTTAGCTCAGGGCCAATCTTCCTCACCAAAAATAATAATAATAATAATAATAATAATAATAATAATAATAATGGATTTCTTCCAGAACCTAGGTCTACGTCAATCTAGACCTTGTTCTCTGAACAACTACATATTTTATTAGTAACAGTGCACACCATTCTCTAATTGGTAGATAATTAATAATTAACGGAAATTTAACAAACTCTAATTTTTTTAAAGACTACTGAACTTATTCTGGTGTTAACTGTTGTTCTGAATACTCCTTAGTGACTCTTCGGCCCCAGTACTTGAGCCATACACAAAGCTTCCACTCTGCTTTCGAATGAGACAGATGAGTCTGCATATCACCTAACAGAGCAGCTGGTGAAAGTCAGCATCTAGATGTTATTGCACAGAGGATGCACCCTTGATCTTTAAATGCTATCTGCGTGTAGCTCCATCTACATTTACTGAAAACCAATCCATTCAAATTATATATATATGCTCTAACAACAAAGTTACAAGATATCAGTTCTCTAGTGCTTTGATGGACTTTAAAACTGTCCTCAAACTATTTTGCTTTGGTGTTTCAGTATAGCATTATCCTATATTGAGTGAATTGAGAGACACTTAAAGGTCCCAAAAGAATTAACATATTTTCCACTTCTTGACCTTTTCAGGGCCCTGAAATCTCCAGTATCAATCACTCTTAAATTAGCATTAAAAAACCATTATCAGTCACTAACATTTTAACAAGTAAGATGAAAAAGGCAAATACAACATTTATTGAACGCATATTTGATAACAAGACCTTTACACCTTTACACGTATTACTTCATTCTAATCCCCTCTAAGAAGATAAAAAGACTTTAAGTTATGTATTGTTTTCTCCATTTTATAGCCAAGAAAAAATAAGATTCAAGGAATTTAAGTTACTTGTGAAAATTCACAGAGCTGAAAGCCAAGAGAAAACTCTATCATATTTGCCTAATCTCCATTGTGTAGCAAAGAACACCATGATTGGGATTTTAAATAACATCCAGAGTTGCATAGCTAATAAGTGACAGAGCTACACAGTATCCAGCCCCAATCCCTTTAAAGATTTTATTTATTTTATTTTATTTTTTTTTTCCCCCCAAAGCCCCAGTGGATAGTTGTATGTCGTAGCTGCACATCCTTCTAGTTGCTGTATGCGGGACTCGGCCTCAGGATGAACGGAGAAGTGGTGCCTCGATGTGCACCCGGGATCCGAACCCGGGCCGCCAGCATCGCAGCGCGCGCACTTAACCACCAAGCCACAGGGCCGGCCCCCCAATCCCTTTAATTCTCCAAGACACCAAGCTGTCTGTAATATATTCAGAAGAAATAGGAAAGAGACTATTTCAGTGGTGATTAAAGAAAAGAGAGGATTCAAAGCATATGATGCTGTTTAGATGGACTGGCCCCTGGAGGCAGATCTACAGAGAGCCCCACGAGGCAATAAGAAGTAAACCTCCACATGAGCAGTGATATTCTACACACAATGGAACTCGGGTTATTAGGAGATGGAATATGCTGAGACGGTTTCTTGGGGAAAGTGTAATTTAATGGAGCCTGGAAACATGGAGAGGAATTTCATAGTAAAGAGGACTGGGAATCAGGAAAAAAAATGGCAGTGGGGCAAAGGCTGGTACTAAGAGAGCATCTCATGGCGATGCAGGGGCCCTGAAAAAAGAGTACGTCTACCTCGCTTGTTTTCCTGGTGCCAGCCCTGCTTAACGTTGATGGAATCATTATTAGGGCCCAATTATACAATAAGCCATAGTGATTTACGATGCTCTACAACCAGCACTGAATCAACCTGTCTCCATAGCCGTAAGGCTGCATAAAGTTTTAATTACGAACATCATAAGTGGGTCAGAGCATATGGAGAAAAATGGATTATGAATTTATGATGCAGTGAATTTTCCTGCTGAGCGGCTCTTCCCCCTATCAGGGCCTAGTGACAGGATGACAAAAGGCACGTAGGAGAAGCCAGATGCTTGACAAAGCATCCGCTCCCTTTTAAAAGTGAGACTGGGGACTGAAGCTGTGGGAGTGTGCCAGAGGGAATGTCAGGGGACATCAGCTGGCTTTGTGACATTCCAATCCTGGCCTCAGGTGAGACGTAGCTACCAGGGCTGTGACAATGACATACTACCCCAGATTGGCAGATGACAGGGTAGAATTGAGCCGGGGGATAGTCTCGGCTTGCTTGACAAATCTTTCAACACTCCTTATATGAGAGGATTTCCCGAATTGATGAGCTATTCACTCTATTTTCTCTTTAGGATTTTATGGTTCAATAAGCACTTATTGAGAGATTACTATGTGCCAGACATCCAATGACTGGTCAGTGTGGGTGTGTAGAGGCCTGGATGCATGGCCCAACTGGGGACAACTTTGCAGGGCCATCATAGATGCTGACTTCCCTGAGGACGTGGCCGAGTCTTTGTGACTGCAACACAGACCAACTTCTCCCTCTGCTCCTTCCTCCTCCCTTCACTTCCCCTACAAGTGTTGATCTGGAGAGCATTCCCCTATAAACTTTTTCCATGTCAATCTCCATCTCAGAGTCGGCTTCCCAAGGAACCTGACCTTCGCAACTCAGCATATCACCTGTAGAAACCTCAATTTCTTGAGTCAGCACCCAGAGCCTTATATAAGATTTGGCAAAATGAAAAAGTATATTCATTTGGTATCCATTAATCATTTATTTATTCAAGCACATGTCATTATAGTGCTTACTCTGTAGCAAGCACTGAACTAGGCTTTAGGAGTACAGAGGTAAAAGAAAGTTCTGCACTGCAATAGTTGGCAGCCCAGTCAAGACAGACAAATAAGCAAAAACTGCTTAGTGTGGTAAACAGCATGATCTAATCAGGCACGAGGAGCTATGGGAACACTGAGGAGGAACACCTACCTCAACGTGAATACTGGGGAGAGAGTCAAAGACGTCTCTGGAAATGGTAGCAATTGAATCAAGTGGGAGTAGACGCCATATGCTCTTCTGGCTGGATGCATGCTGAGGGAGGTAATCAGCAAGGAAGGAGGACAGGCTCTGCCAGCTGGTACTAAAACCGAGCCGACGCTCACATATGCACAGTCAGACAGAAGGCCCTGCACCAACACTCCAGGAAAATTCTGCCCACCTCCTCGGGCCGTCGTCTGTGACTCACCTTTGAGTCTCATTTTCTGGTTTCTCCCGGATTGAAATTACAACAATCACAGTTTGGAACTGACACCTCCCACCGCCAGACTTTCAGAGGGATCATCTTGTCTATACCTAATAAACAGGAAAGTCGACAATCTCTGCAACAAGGTCACTAAAAACATGTGGTTGAATAGTGCAAACACCTCCAAACACCCAGGACAAGAGCAGCACATGGCTATTGACACTGATGTCTGCCCAAAGGCCTCACCTGGTGGGGTTAGCAAATCTGCTCATGTTTCTCAAATCACGATTCGGAAGCAAGTACTTCTTCCCACTCCAAATTCAAGCTGATGGTGAATTAGTAAACAGAGCTTAGTTTGAAATGATGCGCAGAGCTTCAACCTCCTTTTCAGCTCTGGCAGCTTGAAAGATACATCTCTAATTAATTTATTTTTTAAAATTTTAAAGTTCTTCCCTAATGAAGCCAGTCTGATCCTCTCTCTCTGAATATATGCATAAATACATGTGTATATGTGTAAATATAAACCAGATAGATAGATATTCAGAATGATTACAGCAAACACACCCCAGCTCAGATGGAGCTCACTTGAGACAAAAGGCAAGAGCTAACAGACTAAAGAGCATAAACAATCTAATGAACCACATGATGTTCTAAAAATATACTGGTTTGGAAGTCTGGAGATCAATTCTTCTAGCTTGGTTTCAAACAAACAAATAAATAAAAGAACTCACTAGTGTTCACACTGTTAGAGAACAATTAAAGTTGTTTCACTTCACAATATGTGTAGGCAATCATATTTCTGAGTTGAAATTATTATGTCTCTGTAATATGTAGATAGATATTATATTTGATGTGAGGGCTGGTAAGTGTTTATGATGTATAGAATAGACATAAGACAGACTACCAATAGCTAATACATATAACAAAAATGTTAAATATCATTAGTAAATTAAAAGTAAGAAATGCAAACTAGACAAATAAAATCCAATTTTAAACTATCAAACTAGCAGACATTATGCTCAGTATCATTGACTGTGAAGGGACATGGGCCTTCTTGTGCTCTGCAAATGTGTGTGTAAACTGATGACACTGTTCTAAGGAAAACTTTGCATGTGTCAAGAGCCCTAAAAAATACATGTACTTTCACTGACCAATTGTGCTTCTAGAAATTTATATTAGAAAACACACATCCCCCCACCAACAACCTAGAACAAAATTTATATTAAAAATTGTTTATTGTGAAACTTTTATAACGCCAAACTAGAATGATCATACATATCCAATAATTAGTCAAAGGATATCAGTAGACAATTCACAGAAGATCAAATCCAAATAGTCACCAAACATATGAAAATTTGCTTAAATTCAATAGTAGTCAGCAATCTGAGAAATAAAATAATACATTTTTGGTGTCAGAATTGGAAATGTTTAAAAGATCCATTGCTATTAGAGAAATTACTGGAATTCACATTTAAATGTATCTGATCAAAATGTGAACGGTCCTAGTCACTTTTTGAAAAGAGATCTGATGATGCTCTTAACATTAAAAATGCATATATCCTTTGACCCAGCTCTTCTACCTCAAAGAATTTATCATATAGAATCAACAACAACAATATGTAAGATATAGTTATTTATTGCAGGATTGTACAGAGAAGCCCCAAAAAGTAAGTATCGATTATAGGGAAATAATTGAATGAATTAGTGTATATCTACACAATGGACTATTTTGTAGCTGTTACAAAACAAATTATATAGTGTGACATTGTGATTTAGAATAAGAAACCTATATTTGGTCTTCATCTCCGTTTCTGACACAGAGCTCCTAAAATCATTGGAATTTCCTGTAATGAGAACAATAAAGGTGTCTCTTGTGTTAATGAGGTGACTTTTGGACACATCTAAGGATGGGGGCTGGTTGTCAGGGGAACCAACCATGATTACAGAGTTCAAAGTTTCAATCCCACCCTCCTGACCTCCAGGAAACGGGAGGGGCTTGAGGTTGATGCATCACTAATAGCCAGTGATTTAATCGATCATGCCTATGTGATGAAGCCTTCCTAAAAACCCAAAAGCACATTCGAAGAGCTTCCAGGTTGGTGACCCAGACGCTGCCCTGTGCTACCGTGCTGGGCCCCAGACTCCACAAGGACACAAGCTCCTTTGTTCAGTACCCCTCCCTGTGTATCTCTTCATCTGGCTGTAGATTTGTATCCTTTAATATCCTTTGTAATAAACTGGTAATCTAGTGAGTAAACTGGTTTCTGAGTCCTGTGAGCCGCTCTGGCAAATTAATTGAACCCAAAGAGAGAGTCACAGTGTCCACACAAGTAACCAATAATCAATATATAGATTAAAAATGGAGTTACTTTATTGTATGAGCCAATTCTGAGGACTATAGCTCAGGAGAGCAACCTCCACCAGGAAAGGAAGCACTCCAGAGAAGTGAGGTGTACAGCATGGTTGTGTACTGTTTTGGAACAAGGAATATACATCAAATATGACAGGAATACTTTTATTTTTCTTTTACTACGGTCATAAGATGCTTTGCTACATACAGCAAGTCAATCTGATCCTGGTTTCTGGGAAGGAATGTTTATCTTTAAAGAAATGCTGATATGGGAGGGAGGCATTCATCTCTATATTTAAAAGCAGCATTGTTTGCTTTGGAATACTGTAAATGTTTAAAGCAGACATAAAATGCGTGCTTGACAGGCCATGTCAGGCCATTTGGGAAAAACAAGGTCAGGCCAAATCAGTTTTAAACCAAAATGGCTTCCTCATCTAACTCAATATATTAACTTTCTTTACTGCTTTCCCTTATTCCGTCAATGGAAAACTGATTTATAGCCAGTCTGTCAGAAGTACAGCTAACAGACTGGCTTTTGATTGGCATCTGATGTGCAGAATAGTCTTGCGGGCTGAGTGCTTAATGCATGGAATATGAGGCTATGTCTGGGTAGATAGGGTCAGAATTGACATGAATAGTAGAATATCTAGCTGTTGTCTGAGAATTGCTTGGCGGTATGGAACCCCTCCCTACTCCACACACACATGGGAATTGGTTCCAGAACCCTTACAGTTATATCAGTTAACTTGGAGATTTCAATGAAGTATTGGTTGGCTGAAGAAAGAAAGATGTAGAAAAATATATATAATATGACCCCAGTTTTGAGAAGTTATGACTGCACCATATGCATATGCAACCACATAGGGCAGTAAGGCCAGTGTTTATATATGTATGTTTACGTGAGTGTGTGTACACACAATGGTGATGAAAATATGGAAGAATACATCCAAGGTGGTTAAGATAACTTATCCAAATAAGAGTGGAGAAGAGAAGCAAGCACAGAGAAAAAGATTGCAAGTAAATACCAAAGACAGCACATATGATATGATTTCATTCATACATTTGTGTAAATTATATGTATGTAGACATAAAAAGTATGTATTTTATTTATTTATTTAATTTTTTGTGAGGAAGATCAGCCCTGAGCTAACATCCATGCTAATCCTCCTCTTTTTGCTGAGGAAGACCAGCTCTGAGCTAACATCTATTGCCAATCCTCCTCCTTTTTTTCCCCAAAGCCCCGGTAGATAGTTGTACGTCATAGTTGCACATCCTTCTAGTTGCTGTATGTGGGACGCGGCCTCAGCATGGCCGGAGAAGCCGTGCGTGTGTGTGTGTGCCCGGGATCCGAACCCGGGCCGCCAGTAGCGGAGCGCACGCACCATGGGGCTAAGCCATGGGGCCGGCCCCAAAAAGTATGTATTTTAAAGCAAGAATTAATTTTCACAGGCCTCATTTGGGTAGATTAGTGAAGTACATCTTCCTAGCTTTTACTCGCAGCCATGTTTGGATTGAGGCATGCAGAGCTGTGTGTTTATAAAGAAAGCTGGTGATTGCATACATGCACAACATGTAAACACAACGTGTATTTGCATTATTCTTCATGACTTCAGGCAGAATGCAATGTCTCCTTTTTCTTCTTCAAAGCCCAATGTCCCCTAAGAGCCTTGCCGAGGTCTGGGATCAAGCTTGGGGAAGCACCTGACCCAGGACTTGCTTCCAGAGCTGGGATTACACATCTCAGCCCCATCAACGTGGATGTTTCCTCTATCCAGGTCCTCAATTCCACTCTGCCTCCTTAACCCACATGGCTGACGTATCTAGCAAAAGATTACCTAGTAAAATTGTACTCTGTCATATGCTTTAACCCTGTTGCAAAGTGACGGTTGCTCCTGCAAATTACACGCTTCACAAACATTTGTGGAACTCAATTGCAAACAGCCTCTTGCAAAACACCTGGCATATGGCAGACACTCATTACAATAAAAAATTAAGGTTTTGGTGAAACTGAGAAAACAGGCAGTCCCCAGTGCAGTTCCTGCTTCTTACATCCCCAGCTTTGCTGTTAGGATCCCAGCAAATCTACCCTCACCTGCTCCAGTGGCACAGAGGGAAGCCTCTGTGCTGAGGAATCAGAGCATCTTTTCTTCACTGCTGGTGAATCCAGAAGAAAGCATGGGCCTATAATCAAGCATAAGATATTAGACCAATTAGCAATAAAAATTCATTTACTGTCAAAATGATCATTCCATCACAAAATCTGAAGTTAGGAAACTATTGACCTAGTGTCATGTTTTGTTCTATATCCAATCATGATCATTAGTTTTCAACATTCACTGGTTTAAAAATGTTCCTTTGATTTATTGAACTTAGTTTCTGCCTTTAAGAAGCTTACACCGTGGTTGAGAGGCCAAATCCATTTGAGTGGAGTCACAAAGACATACGTCAATATACAAAAATTTAGTAAAGTACAGACACATCCCATTCCAAAGATGAGTTCCAAAAATTGTTTGAGCAGAGGCAATGTAGTGGCCATATGTATACAGTCCCCCAAAGAGCCTTCTTTGATGACAGCACAAGACATTTGGATAATTATGTTCTATGAAATTTAATAATCAGTTGCATGACTTCGTAGTTATACTATACCTTTGTGCACCTGTGTGCATACATATTTTGAAATCATTTTCCCTCTGAGAATGCAAGATTTGGCACCATTCTCCTCACCATCTGTATGCCTTGATTATATCTATTTTAAATGTAAATTCCTTGATGTAAGGAACAATATATTATGTTAAGTCTTAGTACAATGCAGTCTGATGGAAGATTATTATGGTTAATAATAAAAATTACATATTAGCAAAAAACGTATCTATGTTTCTGTGAAATTAACGTGGGAGTTACTTGTATATTTTAATATGAAAGAGTGATGGTAAGACTGTCAAAAGCAAATAGGGTCATTTCTATAAAATTCAGGGCCATTTTTACAACTGAAAAGTGACTTGCTTAAAGGCATAATAACATATGTGGGAAAAATGTTACAGTCAGCAGTTACCAGAGTCTCCCCAATACAGCGGCGGTCTAGAATGGTAGTGAGGCCAGAGGACATTCAGAAGCAGCAGCTTACTAACTGTCTTTGACATTTAAAGTAGATTAAGATTTTAGCATTCCCTCCCTCTATAGGACCAAGCCGTTTTCAGTATTCATCATAAAAATAAATAACAATAATCAGAAAAGAAAATTTTATTGAATTTTGCTTATATAGTCATGGCAGTAAATAATAATAATTACAAAAAAGTTATAGATTAGTCATTTTAATTATATTTTTTTCATAGAAAGGGAAAAGAGGACGTGAAAATTGCTTCTGAAAGAGTGAATTCCTCAAAGTTCACAGAATTATTTGCACCTCGAATGCCACAATCGAAGCAACTCAAGTTCTATTTCTTCGTCTTTACAGTTAGTGTGTTATCATTGTTTATTTCAAGTTTGCTCCCTAAACACAGAAACACATAATACAACAGTGGCGGGAGACAAGGACCGCACCTGAGACAAGCCTGAACGATTCTGGACTGTTTACTTACTGACTCTTACTGCTTACTGTGAAAATGAATGTGTGTAGCTTTGAGTCCACGTAGGTCAAGGGCCAATTTTATAACCGTGGATTACTCAAATTAACTTCCAGAAGAATACAATTGTTTATTAAAGGATATATATTAAAGGTGTGTTAATTTGGGGCTTAGGTACATTTTATTAAAAACTTTACAGTAATCCTAGTACTTGTTTCACATTTAGATCAACAAAATACTTTTTCAGGGAGAAGCGGTTTTCCACTGACATTGTTTAAAATTGCCAGAGCATAGTGAAAATAAAAACTAGCCCAACTTTTAGATAATTTTAATTTATTATTTTCAGGCACGCACCCGGTTATCACCTGCACCTGGGGGGACCGCTCCTTGTTCCCTGCCTCTGCACACCTGCCCTTGGAGCCCCTGGGGAAGGCTAAATTGGGTTCCAACGTGTAGCAAAGTACTTTAATAGAGGACATAGTCTAGGCTCTTTTTCAAACTGTAAAATTTTAAAGAGTGTTGCCTCTCATCCCCGACCATATACAAAGAGCCGCGGACAAGTTCACAGATGTAAAATACTTAGCCCTTACTTCCTCTTCTTCTACGCACGGCAGACATTCTTAATTCATCACAGGACTTCTTTCTCAATGAACTGGGGCACCTCTTTAGAAGCCTTATAAAACTGCAATCTAGGCAACCCACACAATTGTTTGGCACTGGCGTGAAAGCTGAAAACTATTTGCATTCCTGAATTAAATCTCTGGCACTCAAGGGAAGATTATCATCAGGATCTATGAGGAGGGTTTGGTGTCCTGTAGGTGCTCAGGCCGCCATGCTCGCGGACGGAGTGTGCTGCATGTATGCATATGTGGAAGTGGGGTGCAGGGAAAATGACTAAGAAAGCTAATCTTCACTCCTGTTAAAGCATGAAAAAATAGTAAGCCCTTAGTATTCTCAAATGATAAAAATGAATATTTATCGATTATTTATTATAGTCCAGTCACTATTAAAGGGCTTCAAGTGTATTAACTATTTTTATCCTTTCAAATTCCCAGTGAAGTAGGTATTGTTATTATCATCCCCTTTTCACAGATGAGACCCTGAATCAGAGAATGTGAGCAACTAGCCCAAGCTAGTGCCACACAGCTAGTGGCAGAGCTGGGAAGTCAATGCAAGTAAGTGTGCAAAGCCCCACGGAGAAGCACGCTCATGACGGCATTCTGATGTGCTGGTGTCCATTTCAGCTCTCTTTGAGCCACTCCAAAGTCCATGAGATATTTTGCAGAGGGTTAGTTTTGATTCAGCTTGCTATAAGGCCAGTGTGAGAGAGTAATTAATTAGTCAATGTGATAAGACAAGGAAAATAAAATATTAAAATCATCTAAAGATAGCTTTAATGTTTTATTTTCATTATGACATAAGCAAAACCTTTAATCAGATGGCTTAAATGCTTTATTTATGGCGGAGTGGCTCTGAAAAGAAAGTCAACTACTAAAGAAAGTCAACTGCTTTATATTCACTAATTCAAATAAGCTTT